TTTTATGTTTACCTAACTACTTTAACATGTGTCTTATAACCCTGATTATTGGCTAGTTAACGTAAAGAAAACAAAAGAATAGCCTCAAATGTGTCCAAGTAACAATTATATAAATCATACTTGTCCTATTTATACGGCAGTGACTTAGCATGGCATGTGAAAACATGATATTCAATCTAGTACTCGTGATTAACGTTAATAAAAAGGTTGAACCCCAATCTTGAGGGCCCCCACCGTCCCCCTCCTAGAGTTTTGTGAGGGAGGTAGATCGCGGGATGTGGCCCAGTAGGCTAGAGAACAATAGCTGCCTATACATTGCGCCTATAAGAAGTCAAATTCCATGTTTCAGGAATCATACCCCTACACTGCGATTGCCGGCAAAGTATGAGAAAATCTCACTCATATTCTTTGCACCACTAGACTATGCCTCGGAGGGCTCGTGATTAACGTTAATAACAATGATTAGTGATGGACTTTTGATATATTTAACAAAAACCCAAGAATATTATGTCCTGTCACGTATGATAATATCCTCTATTCTAAAAGTCAAAGCGTGGATAAAGTGCTCCGTCTTGAGGTCTAGGCGTGCGAAAAGATGGTCAACTCATTTGTTGATTGCCTAAAGTGAACTTAGACGTGTGTTTATATGTTTTTCGATTTTCTTGAATAAATGGACTTAATTATTAGTGTGGATCTGGAAACTAAAATCTAAAATGAAAACTACACAAACAAATACAAAATGCAGGAAAATATGCTAAAAAAAAAAAAATTAATTTCATTTTTCACCCTTTTTTTTTGTGTTGAAAATTTGAACCTTAAGAGTGAAGACTCTCCTGACTATTCAAATGAAAAAATAATAGTATTTTGCAATTTTAGATTTTTGGTATGCATTGTTTTATTCATTTAAAAATTTTAGAATAATAAAAAAATAATATTAAAAATAAGAAAATATTTTTTTTAAATATATGCTCATAAAAATTGAAGTTTGACTACTTGACCTAGTCTTCTTGTAACATTGTATGCTTGTTAGAATGCTGTTAATTCCTCATCTTATTTGAAATATGAAGTATAAAAATGTAAAATGAGTATGATTGAATGTTTAGTTCAAAGTAATAGGCAATATTAAATAAGAAAATAAAATTAAATGTCTTTATATTTAATTTCATTTAATACTACTTATTCAACAGGTAAAATAATAGAATATTCAAACATCACAATCCTAACAATGGGAAGAAGACAAAAAAATATGAAAGATGTGATAAACTTTGAGAAATAAAATGCAGCATATTTAAGAATGAAACATCATTCCTCTATTATGACATAAGAAATTAAATATGTATAACGTGTCAAACATATATAACTTGTGTGACATAAGATTTGATGTCAAGACGCTATTTCTAGAAGGAAAATTACAAGTAAAAATCAATGAAATCAAAATATAGAATGACATCATTAGATTATAATATTTCCTTGTTAAGTTCCATTATCCTATAAATTATTAACTAAGTCTACTAATTTTCCGGCTTTCAACTACGTTATGTAAGTGAGATGTGCCACAATATGCCCCCAGGGCACATATCCAAGTGGTAAAAGGGAAGGGTGGAGAAATCCAACTTTACTTGAGACTACTGTGTCAAGGATTCGAATCCTGAAATATGGATTTGACTTTTGGGTAAGTGCAAGTGTACAAGCAGCCCTCCACCCTGTACCCTTGGAGGCATAACCTGTGATTTACCTCCCTCACGACACTCCAGGGTAGGGGTGGTGGAGGACCCTTAAGGTTAGGGTTTAACCTTTTTTTTTTTTTTTTTTTTTTTTTTGCCCCAAAATAATTTTGAAATAGTGATTTGATGTAGAATGTATGGTTAAAAAAAGTGGAAAAGTTTGGATTTGTGTGTAATATTATTTTATTGAAAAATGTGTAGTTAAAAATAAGAGAAAGAAAAATATATTTTAAAAATAATGATGATCAAACAAGGGCTTGATGTAAAATTTTGCATAGCTTGATTGATTGTAATGCCACTAGTTCATGTATCTTTCACAAATCGATGTCAACTTTTAAAGTCGAGGAGGATTGAATTTGGTTCCAACTTCCAACTGGGTGGTAGCTGAACCAGCGTTTTCTCATGTCCCACTGCCTGCCTTTTCTTGAAATCTATACACATCGTTTTTTTCTAAATCATTTTCAGACTTTCAATTCAAATAATGAGAAACTGCTTATGCGATTAGTGATATTGATGAGGTGATTGACAGGGTAAAATAACGCGTACGTATGTAGCCATATGATTTTTCACCGACAAATAATATTCATCGAATCTCAGCCTACATTAAGAGCCTCATAACAGTGTGCTAGGTTTCTTTATTTTTTAAGCGGGCCATTACTTGAACAAAGACAAGTGGAATTAGCTTATCTTATATATTTGAATTTCCACACACACACACACGCATTATTATTATTATTATTATTATTATTATTATTATTATTATTATTATTATTATTATTATTTTCCCTTGAGTTGATTGTGTCTAATCCTTTAAATTAGTTTCTGTATTATACCTATAAAGTTAGGCTAAATCAGTATATCACGCCCTTTAATATAAATCTTGGAAATTTTCAAAAAGTTTTAATAATTGAAAATGAAAGAATAAAGAGAAATTTGGAAAAAAAAAATAATGTTTTCAATTTGATTTTTAAGAGAATTTGTGATTAAAAAGTGCGTAAAAATTGGGTTTACATGCAATTTATTTTTTGTGTAAATTTGTGATTGAAAATTAATATGAGAGATAAATAGTTTTAATTTATAATTATTAAAATTTTCAAAATGTGTAAATAATCACATAAATATATGTAATTAAAATAAAACAAAAAGAGTCTGATTGATTCATTTTTGCCAATTCGATATTTTTTTATTTCAAATTTCAAATTAAAGTACTTTAAATTAACTACTAAATTCTCTTGACAAAAGATACATTGGCCTAAGAGTCTTCCATATTTTCGAAAAATTCAGGCATCATTCTTGAATTTACCACAATATTTTATTTGTGTTCATGTGCAAGACAAATAAATGTTAGTTTTTTACATTAAAATCCACTAGTCAATAGTCAATATGTTTGTGAATGAAATTGAGTTATATAATACAGTTTTATAAATAAATAAAAAAAGAAAAAAATTAATTGATTCATTTAAATTAAGGAACTGCTTCGAGCTCAATTAGCTTATACTTAAAAAATGATATAAATATTAACACAACAAAACTCTAATGTATTCATATATTATTAGGAAAATGCTCCTCTACCAGACCTCTAAGAGGCCTGGTAGAGGTCGCCTCTCTTATTTCTCTCACCTCGACGTGGGCTCCGACACCCAAAAAAAAAATCCGACCATACCGATGTGAGGGGTCGGTAAAACCTCAGTAAGTGTTGGGCATGTACGCCCAGCACGACTGATATTATTAATTGTAATGTCAGACTTTTTGTTCACCAAGCTAATGAATTTAGATAAAATTATCAATTAAATTATAAATCAAACAATTGAATTATATATATTTGATCAATTTGTAGTTTTGACTTGGTCAAACAAATCTTTGTTCAATCTCCAAAAATATTGATAAATTGAATCTACAAACTAGCTTTTTGGCATTATCCACAAAACCTCAGTGGAGGAATGTGACGTGACCACACACTTCATACAAGTGGACATTAAAACGCGTTCAACGCCTTAATTTTTGTTATACTTATTCTTCCTAGCCATTTGGATTTTTTTATCCTATTTAATTATTTTGTAGGAAAAAACCTAATAAAAATTAGTTATGAGCATAACTCGTAAATTAGCGTAATCTTATCGACTTTTTCCAACTTTTACAAATGGACCCCATTCAAGCGAATATGAAATAATCATCATTTATGTCACAATACGTCTGATTGCGAGAGAAAAGAAATTAGACAAGCCTGAATTTTTTCTAGTAATATGTATTAAATGTATACAAAAAATATATATACAAGCACCGATGACATAATATATCAATTAATTAAAAAAAATTTAAAATTTTTGGACCTATCAAATATTAATTCATCAATTAATTTGTGTGACTAGTTGCTTAGACCCCATTTGACAGTCATTTTCTGTTAAGAATGGATTTTTTTTTTTTTTTTTGAGTAGTTAAAAAGTTGTAAAAATTTTGGATTCACGTGAAAAATATTTTATGGTGAGAATTTTATGATTAAAATGAGTATAAAAAAATATATTTTGAGAAAATGATTGCCATGGGCTATATAAAATATCATTTCTCTCTCTAGTTATATATAAATAAATAAAAGAACGAAAAAGATAAAAGGTTTCTATCTGTAGGAATACAGAGAAGGAAATATAGCATTAGGATCTTCAAACTTTGACAAGTGTTGCACCTTTGGTCCTTATTCTTCAAAATAGAGAATTTGTATCCTTGATCTTTTATTTTATAAGCAATTAAGTTCTTAAGCTAAAATTTTATTAAAAAGACTATTTGACCTATATTTTCAAATGGAAAAGAAATTAATTAAAAAAAAGTATAATAGAAAAAAAATTCTTCGTTTTTACTGAACTCGCATTGAAGTCATTGGCGATGAGTGATAATAGTTCTAGTTGTTTGGACATGAGGTGGGTTCAAGTGAGTGGAGTAGAGAATATGAAGAATTTAGTATTTATTTTTTATTTTATTTTCTATCTATGTAAAGAGGAGTAATACTATATTTTCATTAAAATTTATCTGTTTAATTGAATAATAGTACATTTGCTTCACTGGAGCTAACCTAGACGAGGGTAAAATTGTCCGATGGAGTTCTAACTACTAAAATAAAAGCTTGGGTACTAAAATCTGTAGTGTTACGTTTTGAATATTAGGGAGCGAATTGAAAGACCAATAAAAGTTTGGGGACAATATGTGTATTTCCCTAAAAGTAAGAAACTAACAAGGAGAAAGAAACGGTCTTGTTCCCGACAAAGCTTAACCACCCATTTTGGTCAATATATTTAACTGCCAAACCGTCCATTTCATTATCTTCATATTTCTATTCTACCCAACACCCGTTTCCCAAATATCTCTCTCTACGATCAAAGCAAAAATTTCAGGCGAAAACAACCATGCCGGCGACGACCGATGGTCAAGGTTCCTTCCTCAACCGCATAAGCATCCGCCGCAACCAGGTGGTAGCTATGGAAAATCACGATCAAGAACTCGAAGACCTTGAACTCTTCCAAAAGCATGTTGCTGACCGATTCTCCTACATTTATTCCACCTCCTCCGCCGTCGCATCCACAACCGCTAGTAACGGAACAGATCCTTCCTCGGCAGCCAGTGATTCCCCTAGTGCAGCCCTGGAGAGTTTCACCCCGCCACTCCTTTCAATCTCGTGGTTCCGAAATCTTCTTGATACTTATCTCTGCTGCGAGGCTGAATTCAAGGCTGTTTTGGTAATGGGTCGTGACCCGACCCAGTTTACGAAGACTCCGCTCGACAAACTCATCCCTGACCTCCTTGATCGCTCTGTGAAGGCGCTTGATATTTGTAACGCCGTCACACACGGCATTGAGCTGGTCCGACACTGGCAGAAGCTGGCCGAGATTGCCGTCACAGCGTTGCAGCAGAATCCCATCGGCGAAGGCCAGGTCCGGCGCGCCAAAAAGGCCCTCACCGCCCTTCTCAGTTCAATGGTGCTTGATGACAAAGAGAATTTAAATACCAGTAACCACGGCAAGTCAACAGAACGAACTTGGTCATTCGGCCGTCGTGGCGGCGGCGGCTCTGTAAATAGCAACAAGGACAGGTCCACTGGAAACTTCCGGTCTTTATCCTCGTCGGTGGCGAAACAATGGTCCGCCGCCAAACAGATTCAGGCCATGTCATCCAATCTCGCTGCGCCACGTGGTGGGGAGTCAACAGGTCTGGCCATGCCGGTTTACATCATGAGCACGGTTTTAGTATTTGTGATGTGGGCTTTGGTGGCAGCAATTCCATGCCAAGAGAGGACCGGGCTTTTGACCCATTTTGTTGTTCCAAAGCAATTGGGCTGGGCCCAGCCTATGATTGGGCTTCAAGAGAAAATTGGAGAGGAGTGGAAGAAGAAGGAGAAGAAAGGGAATTCTGGATTGCTTGAAGAGTTGCAAAAGATGGAAAAAGTGTCTCAATCCCTAGTCGATTTTGCCGACTCGTTCCAATTTCCATTGGAGGAGGAGAAGTCGGCCGAGGTGGCAATGCAGGTCGAGGAGCTAGCCGAGATCTGCCGTAAAATGGAAGAAGGGCTCATGCCGCTACAACAACAGGTTAGAGAGGTGTTTCATAGGATTGTGAGGAGTAGGGCTGAAGTTCTTGATCTTCTTGATCAAGTTGGCAAATTATCCACCCCAGTTCCATATTGATGCACATTTCAATTTTACATTAGTTTGTTTATACTTTTTTTCTTTTTTTTTTGGGTCATGGAGATCTATTGTTATGAATTTGTATTTATTTATTTTTCTACTTTTTTTTCCTAATGGATTCCCGGGGAAAAAAAATAAAAAAACCATTTTGAGAGATTTTTTTCCGTTATAAAAGGGTCATAATTTAGAGATTAAAGGGCGATTAAGTCATTTTGCCCTTTTTTTATGTAATCTTGTTGGTGTATCTGTTGAGGCAACAGATGTTTTAATTCAAATGTTATGTATAATAAAATTGCAATTTTTTGTTCTTTAATTATTTTTTATATTTGTTGACTGAAGTTTATGAACATGTTAAGCATATAGAGAACATGCAGCAAGCACACTTTCTATTTGACACGCTTGTAACTAGTTGGGCAATAGGGACATATATAATTTCATTTTACTTAAATTAGGTCGAATTACCAATAGGTGGAGGGCATGAGAGTCAAGATTCGATGTCCAATCAATTAATTCTTGACATTTCATCAATAATTAACATCTTATTTTAAATTTATCCTCATTAACTTTATCACTAACCCACTAAATTGATGATGTGTCATGAATTAATCGAATGGATAACAAATCTCAACTCAGGACATAATCATCGTCCCAACCTACCTTACCCTCTACATGCAAATATTTTGGTGATTGGTGAAATTATAGACGTGGATTTAATGATATTTTCTTTGCAATTATGATGATTTGTTGACATCATATTTATTTAGGTGTATTTCAAATCAATCGCGCTACATATATATTGTGGTTGAAATTAATGTTTACACTTTACCACGTGGCTATATCTATATCATTGATTTTGATTACAACCATCACATCACAGTTTTATTTATTTATTTTTCAAATTGGGGGAATGTTAAGGAAGGTGTGAAGTAAAATGCAAATTTAGCATTATTCAAATAAGTAGCTGTAGACATTTTGACAAGCATTATTGTAGAGTAATTTTGATTGTCAATACTTGCCAATAGGGGTGTCAAAAAGCCCGAGCCGGCCAGCTCGTGGCTCGGAGCAACCGAGTCGAGGCTCAAGTCGAGTCCCATTTTGGGGACACGGGCCGAGCCTGAGCCGGGCCGTGAGCCTTTAACTAAAAAAATGGCATAAAAGACGGCCAAAAAAAAAATTGGGCCGGTCCGACTCTGCTCAGAAATGCTCGAGCCGAAATTATTTGGCTGAGCAAAAACTCGAGCTCATAAAAAAGCTCGACCATTTTAATCAAGCTGAAAGTTTTAGGCTTAAGCTCGGCTCGTTCACATTCCTACTTGCCAACAAGTTCATATGCCAGACATTTTGATAAGCACTTTACAAATTTATGATGATGCCTTACATGAATTTTCACACACACGTCAATTTTGCATTGAAAGAGAATAAATTAATTTTAGCAATGTGATTTGTGGCAGATTATGATTTTGATACATAAATTTCAATTCTGGGATCAAAAGCAAATTAATTAACCATATTTGATTAAAATTTTTATTTAAGTCTAAGTCTACTTTGTTTGAGAACAAACATATGTTCAACTTTGGGAGTATTTGATAAGTGTATAAAATACATCTATCTAGATCTTTAAATATGATTAATTATCTTTAATTTTGATGACATATGACTTAATTTATTGTTAATTTTGTTCGTTAGGTAAAACTCAAGAAAAAATTGGGTGGATTGGAAGAAAGAAAAGAAAAATAGACGAAAATGAAAGAAATTCAAGGTGCAGGGACCAAAGTATAACTATTTAATAGTTGATTCAGATCGTAAAATGGAGATTGACGATCACATATGATCAATTGGATGCAATTCGAGGTCAAATGAGTGAAATATAATTGAAGTATTTTCGCAAATTAATTTTCAGCCAAAAAAGTTATAATCCAAATTTCCAGCCACAAATTGATACCCACTTTTTGGGTAGTAAATGTTTGAATTGAAAATTTTCCATTTTCAAGAAAATTTGTAGCCCTTTTCATTATCTTTTCAACACATTTTGAATCACCTAACTTGGATATCGGAAGAGAAAGTAATAACCAAAATACTAAAATCTTTGCAGAGACACACAATACATTAAATTTCATGACCCGAAAGCCATTTTGGCTCAACGCTACATACATGGTAGTTATGCCTTTATGTGCATACAGGTTATTTTTCCAGATAAATCAGTAATTTTCTTTTGGAATTCAAACTCTTCGAGCCTACATTGAATGCGATTTTGATCTATTCTCTGGCTCTTATAAATTTAAAATAAGGGCTTCACATAGGGAGAATTCTCTCTTGCCTCTTCATACACAATATATCATCAAATTCACCTAACATAAGAGGTCAATTCTTGATTAATTTTGGGGAAAATTGCAACAGAAGCCCCAAATCTTTCAAACATTAGCAGACTTTTTTCAAATCTTTGATTTGTTGCAACCGTCACCCCTAACATTTCCAAACGTTGCATGTGAGGCCCTTTTTAATGGTTTTCATCCAAAATTCCGTTAGTTGACCAAAAAAATTATTTTGACCACATTTCAACAATTTTTAGAGGGACAAAATGGCAACTTTGCATTAAAATCAAAAATTAAAAAATAAAAGTGGTCTTCTTCTTCCCCAACCCACCCACACGCCCAACGCAGACTGCACCAAATTCTCTACTTCTCGATTGGAACTCTTCTCCACATTCTCGGACTTCAAACAGATGAAAACTCAAGATCAAGGAACCCAATTCCCAATCACCATTAAAAAGCCCACAGTCCTACCAATTGAACCCTCATCGGAAGCAGACTCGCTCTTCCAAATCTTAATCCACCACCACAACATTTTTCAACATATGGAGTCATCCCTTCAACTCAACAAAATATCCCTCATCCCTACCTTGATTCAGCGGACACTCCTTCAGTTAAAACACCATTCAAAAATTATGCTTGCGTTTTTCAAATATTCACAACCCTACAGCCTTTAACCAATTTGACTGCCTCTTTTACCGCCTTCACTGAAAATTTCCAAGAAGTACAACTAGTGTTCGATCGGAATTTGGTTATGATTCAGCAAGTTAATGAGAATTCCAGTTGAAAAATCATTGGAATATGGTGAAAATATGGGTTTAATACCGGAAAGTCATTTCGATTTATTCAAATCTTTCAGCTAATTTAATGTGTTTAATTGAGCGGTGGCGGTGGTTCTAGGTGCGGTTAAGATAGGCAGATGATGGTTGGCGCTGGGTGGGTGGGATTTTGGTTTAGCGTTGGGGGTGGTTTTGGGTGGCGTGGGGTAGGAGATGTTTCAGGTGTGGGTGGGTGGGTTGGTGCAGAAGAAGACCACTTTTATTTTTTAATTTTTGATTTTAATGCAAAGTTATCATTTTGCCCCTCTAAAAATTGTTAAAATGTGGTCAAAATAATTTTTTTGGTCAATTAACGAAATTTTAGATGAAAATCGTCAAAAATGGCCTCACATGCAACGTTTGAAAATGTTAGGGGGACGGTTGCAACAAATCAAAGATTTGGGAAAAGTCTGCTAATGTTTCAAAGGTTTGGGGCTTCTGCTGTAATTTTCCCTTAATTTTGCATACACATTACATTATTTAAATGCTTGATCACCAATTAAATAATTAGTTACTTATTGTGGTGTTGGGAGACTCATAATAAATTTAGAATGCAACAAAAATTTAATATATGTGCAATAGATGTTAGAAATAAAATTTATCACGTATGCATTTATATTGATAATCAGAAATTTAATGCATTCTAGTTATTCGAATATGGGCTAAAAATAAATTTGGGCCGTGATAAAAATAGAGTTAATTTACCTTGAAAAAGAGAGTTAAATATATTAGTTTTATCGATTGTCAAAAATGCAGGAATACGATTAAAATACATAATTGAGAATTGAAACATATAGAAATAGACGGATTCGAATTCCAATACAATTATCCATAAATTGATAAAAACTAAACTTTTGTAGCTTAGATTAATTTAGATTGAATCAAATCGTAGTCTCTCTTGTATCACACAATTCGAATTCCATAAAAAACCAGTAAACTTGAATTGATGAAATTTATTTTCCGTGGGACAATAACTCTCATCTCACTTAATCTAATACTTGTCAATGTTCTCATATGTTTGTGAAATTTTATCGAACAAGTTTTTGTCGCTGTTATTGGGGAATAAAGTATTTAATTTGAATTTACTAGTTTATATAGTATTTAAATTTTATTTTACCTTTTTAGGCTATTATTTACACACCTAATTTCTTTTGTTTAATTTTAGGAGTGTACGCTAGATAAGCCTTACTATTTCTAGAGTAACCTAGAGTCAAGCTTGCCTAGCTTTTCTCTCTCTCTCAAAAAGCAACATTTGCTACCAAAAACTCTAAAGTATTTGATGGTAGGCTTTTTCTCATTCTAAATTTCATTAGGTATCTTATCGGTCAAAGGTCTAAGATAAACTCAGTTCACTGTATAACAAGCGGTGTTAATTGCTTTATCCCAGAAACACATTGTTAGACCCTTACTATAAAGCATGGCTTTAGCCATTTCTTAAAGCATCCTATTCTTTCTCTCGACTAGTTCATTTTTTGAGACGTGATCGGTGAAGAGAACTATTGATGAATTCCTTCTTCCAAATAAAGGATTTGAGGCTAGAGTTTTCAAACTCTCTTTCGTTATCACTCCTAATTCAGGTTATGGTAAAATCCTTCTCATTCTTAGGTTTCTTACACAATGATCTAATAAGATCATAAACTTGTGATTTTTCTCTTTATAATTCAATCCATGTGAACCTAGCGTTGTCATCTACCACGAAAAGGATATAACGTCTACTACCTAGACCCTCAATTCTGGATGGTCCCATTAAATCCGTATGGAATAATTCCAAGGGCCTATCTGTCAAGATGTTAGAAGTTTTTTCATGATTAACTCTATTGTTTACCTTCTTGACATGTTCTACATATAGTATTATAAATCTTATCAAGTTTAGGTAGACCACCCACAAGTTCCTTCTTAGAAAACATAGACAAACTCTTATAGTTCATATAACCTGGTCTTTGATGCCAAAGTTTAGTCACTTCAATCTTATCACATATAATCGGAAGTTGGTGCAACTCCATAACAATTGTCAAAAGTTCTATTTCCTCCCATAACTATGTTGTAATTAGCATCATATACAATGCACTTTTCTGGACAAACTAACCTCAAAATCAATATCACATATTTAACTCATGCTAAGCAAGTTAGACTTTAAACCTTCCACATATAGTACATCAGAGATATTAGGAAAGCCAGATA